TTGAAGCTTTTATTGTATTTCTTATTATTGAATCAAATGTGTCTTTGAGGTTCGACTAAGTTGGTTTAAGTGGCAATAAACTTTTACGGCATCAAACTTTTCTATGTGTTGATGTAGATTTGTTTATATTTTCAAAGTAGTCTTTGGGCTCGAGTGTACGTGTCAAATGCCCATATTCAAGTTTAAACTTGTTATGATAAAATATACGTAGCACATTTCAAAGATGAATGACTCCTAAGAGATAATTCTGCATTTCTTATCGTATCTTCAGAAATCAGACTAGTGGCTTTAGCACTACTGATTTGATTTTGATGTATATTAAATTCAGGCACTCGACTCCACTATTTGGTCTGGGATAAAAATGATATATAAATCATGGTGATAATCACTTTCGTGATCTCATGGACGAAGTCAAAGACAATGGTAAGAAACATATTGATTCCAAGGTATATGGGGGGGGGATTCATTACTTTCCTTGGTTGGTTTGTTTTAAATTAAAATATTTTGAGTGGAAAGAAAAAGAAGAAACAGGGAATCCACGTTCGGAAAAGCAAATTTCACCAATGAATCGACCAACTTTACTGGGTGAGATTGTATCCGTGGTGGATCTAATATCTTTCAGAGGAAGGCGTTATTTAGCAGCAACTATACCAAGAAAAATAAGTGGATTCGGGTTCTGATCTTTTTCAATGAATTCTCAAGGTGGTTTCTCTTTTATTAGACAATGACTACCACTTAAACTTGGGTTCAGACTTATAATCCTCAGTTGTAGAGAGGTTCGAAATTATCACCATCATTTGGCATATGAAACACGCATAAGAATAAAGATGAGAAAAGAAAAGAAAAAGAAAAAGATATAAATGAAGTGTGTTATTACTGTTGGCTGAATGGAAACTTATAGACAAAAGGTATGTGTATAAAAATACGTAGAAGTTGTACTCTACCTAATGGAAGATGAAGAATTTAAGTTGAAATAAAGCATGTATACGGAAAAAGATAGTTAAATCTTCCAATGACCTCTTTTTGACCATTTGATATCGCCATGAAAACTACAGTTTTGGACAATCCAAAATGACGACGCCTTCCAATGATCTCTTTTTGACCATTTGATATCGCCATGAAAACTAGAGTTTTGGACAATCCAAAATGATGACGCCTGAATTTATGTCCTTAAGTTACACACTCCATGTGGCATTATCTCTTTGGCACTTTCTCCATTCACTCTGTTTCTTTCTTAAATTAGCTTTAAAAAAAAAAACAGTACACTTACAGCCTTAGGGCTAGGATCATCTTCTCATCAAATACCAGCGGTGCCCGCATACAGGTATCTTCATAAATGCTTTTTCAAACAGATATATGATTGATTTACATATAGTTTCAGAGTCGAAAATATCCTCAAGTATTATAAGATATATTTTAAGTCAGAAAATGCCTTTCGTAAAGCACTTGGAAAGTTATCTTTAATTGCCGCGAACCTAAATAATTATAAGCCCCTAAAGAGAATTGAACAAATCCCAACTCTAAAAGTGAACATAATTAAATTAATATTTTGACAGATATCATAAATCAAAAACCTAATTTTTTGAATAATGTTTCACGTATAATAGGATACATCTTTTAAAAAAAAAATAATAAAATTTTTCTAAAAATTAATATTATCCCTATGATTAATTAACGAATTTTGTGGTATTATTAGCTTTAAATTATTGTATTACATAATTAAAATTAATCACAAAATTAAGAATATATATCATTTTCTCTCAACCATTTATATCATTTACAAAATTAATATCAATATCTGTATCTTCACTAGTGTTATTATTATCACACAAAATGGGTAACACATCTTCCACTTCAATTTCTCCATGCAAAATGGATAAATTTGGGCAAGTTTTAGTGAATCAGATTGGGTGACTTGGATTCGATTCGAATTTTTTTTTGGGCCTTTGGTCAAATTTAATAAAATTGTATTGATATTTTTAAGGATACAAATATATACGTATCGTATCATAAGATACATATCAACGTATCAAAAAGTTTAAGATACACTTTCTAATACGTATCATTGACAATCTGTATCGAATAGTATCGTAAGATATATATCGTATATTGTAGGATATTAATAGCCATAAATTAATGCCTTAATTTGGAATATAGATTCCAACTCCAAGGTAGCTACAGATTTCTTCAATCATAATCATATATATTTTTTGTTGCGATAACCATAACTTATTAATAGTTTCTTTAATGCTATCATATCCCAGCTGATTGCAAAGTAGGCAGCATCGTCTTGTCAACTACAAGAAAGAAAATTTCAAGACTACACGGTTTTGTTTTGGTGAATGCCATAATTGGAGTTCCATGGCCCCACTCATCCCATTATCATCACAAACACGCAAATCAATCAATTTACTTAAAACTTTATTAATATTTTATATTAAATTAAAATTGGATTAAAAAACAAGAGAAAGGTTTGTATTATTACATGAACAAATCCTATAATTAAAATTTCAATTTGTATATATTTTGAATTGAGTAGTAACAAGATTAGCAACAATGCAGGATTGCAGGTGCAGGGCCAGCAATGGACTCCTGAGAAATTATCATGAAGATCCACTTGGCTTTCAACTTGCGAAAAAACTAGTGTTTTCCTATATATGATAATCAATAAAGAGATAAGAAGTAGATTTGGAAGTAAGAAGCAATCACTTTCCGTATTTTGTTGTATTCTATGTTGTGCGGTCAATCCGGAGAGGATAATTCCCTATTAGGAGAGAAGATATTTAAATTGACTCAATTTGGAAGGAAGATATTCAAATTGACTTAGACTCCAACTAAAGTAGCCGCAGATCATGCAACTTCCTAATTCTATGTATTTGAATCTTATCTCAACTCTATCATGTAAATGGATGCTATATAAACCCATCATAACTTGTTTTCAGGGGGGCTGAACAATTGTTCTAAGCAAATTTTCCTAGGAATTATACTGTTCTTTGTAAGTTCTCAAAAATAATAAGATAACAGTTGACGTAGGTTCAAGTTCTAACTTGCCAAACCACTTTAAAAATCTCTCTGCCATTTACTTTATTGCATTTATTATTCATCCACTGCTAGTTATCACGTGCACATCCATTCCGGTTATGACAGGGTCAATCGAAATTCTCTAGTTGGTGCTAATTTCTGTATTAACATTTTGGTGCTAGAAAGAGAACCCGATTCATAGCAGTTCTCCATGTTTTTCCCTCAAGTCTCAACTTCTTCAACAAATCCCAGCTTCTTAATCTAGAATCACGTCATCAAATGTGAAAATCTGAGCAGGATAAAATCTGAATCTGGCTAAGTGGTAAACACAAGAATTGTAGCCCTTCGAGTTAGCTTTCCTGCAGTCTAGAATCATCCAAATATGAGGTCTACAGCTGAAGTTATCGTCAAAATACTAAAGTTTGTTCCAAATTAGAGTTCTCAGATTGCGTGGCCAGATCACTCAGATCGCGTGCTCAAATCTCTCAGATTAGAAAGAGCTCACTAACTCTCAAGCTCCCAAGCTCTCTAAGATTTCTAATCGAGCAATGCTCTCAAATCAAGCTCTCTATGCTTTCTGATCAAGCTATGCTCTCAGATCAAGATCTTCATGCTTTTTAATTGAGCAATGTTCTCAGATCAAACTCTTTATGTTTTTTAATCGAGCCATGCTCTCAGATCAAGCTCTCCATGCTTTTTGATCGAGCCATACTCTCAGATCAAGCTCTCCATGCTTTCTAATCGAGCCATGCTCTCAGATCAAGCTCTCCATGCTTTTTGATCGAGCCATACTCTCAGATCAAGCTCTCCATGCTTTCTAATCGAGCCATGCTCTCAGATCAAGCTCTCCATGCTTTCTGATCCAGCAATGCTCTCAGATCAAGCGTTCCATGCTTTCTGATCGAGCTATGCTCTCATATCAAGTGCCCCATGCTTTCTGATCGAGCTATGCTCTCAGATCAAGCGCTCCATGCTTTCTGATCGAGCTATGTTCTCAGGTCAAGCTCTCTATGCTTTCTGATCGAGCTATGCTCTAAGATCAAGCTCCCTATGCTCTCAGATCAAGCTCTTTATGCTTTTTGATTAATCTCATAAGCTCACTCATTTGCTTGAGATTATGTGTTCAAGATCTCTTAGATCTCTTCGATCGCGACAAGCATAATTCAAGATCTTCAATTCGAGATTGCAGCCTATAGTGCGACAGCCATCCAAATCAAAGACATGAGTTTTTGAAGTGCGATTACGCACTCCAAAAACTGGAGGGCTATTGTTGTGCGGTCAATCTTGAGAGGATAATTCCCTATTAGGAGAGAAGATATTTAGATTGACTCAATTTGGAAGGAAGATATTTAGATTGACTTAGACTCCAACTAAGATAGCCGAAGATCATGCAACTTCCTAATTCTACGTATTTGAATCTTATCTCAACTCTATCATATAAATGTGTGCTATATAAACCCATCATAACTTGTTTTCAGGGGGGCTGGACAATTGTTCTAAACAAATTTTCCTAGGAATTATACTGTTCTTTGTAAACTTTCAAAATAATAAGATAACATTAGACGTAGGCTCAAGTTCTAACTTGCTGAACCACTTTAAAAATCTTTCTGTCATTTACTTTATTGCATTTATTATTCATCCACTGCTGGTTATCACGAGCACATCCATTCTGGTTCCAACAGGGTCAATCGAAATTCTCTAGTTGGTGCAGATTCAAATTTCTGTACCAACATTGTATAAGAAAGCCACAAGTATAATTGCAATAATGGTTCCAAAATTGTACCAAGGAAATAAAAAAGAAAAGACACAAAATTCCTACACTCCATCTACTGTTCACCACTTAAACATGTGGTAAGTATAGCAGGCTGCTGACGTTCCACCCTTTAAGCTTTGTCAATTATTATACTCTTTTCCTTTCCTTGCCAACTCCAATAATCCACTTGTATTAATTCTATTCTTTAATTGGTTATAAAAGCTTGGAAGCTCTTAACACCAATAATCACTTCTCTCTCTCTCTCTCGCTCTCTCTTTCTCTCTCTCATTTCCCCAGCTTGACCATGGTGAGTGCTTCCTTTAACAAAGTACTTCATAATTTGCAGCCTTCAATAATTATTATTTTGTTAATGGTTTTATGTTTTCTAGGTTCTGGTTTCATCTCATGGAGAAAAAAATGGTGCAAATGAAGAACCTGTCGTTGATTTTAGAGGGAATCCTGTGGATAAGTCCAAAACTGGTGGATGGCTTGCCGCAGGACTCATCTTAGGTGCTTCTCAGTAACATAAACCAATGTGTTTGTTGTTGTTTCATGTTCATTTATATGTTTATATTCAGTTAAATATATCAAACTTTTGTTGCAGGAACTGAGCTTTCAGAGAGGATATGTGTTATGGGCATATCAATGAATTTGGTTACATACTTGGTTGGAGATTTGCATTTACCTTCTGCAAAATCTGCAACTATTGTTACCAACTTCATGGGAACCCTTAACCTTTTTGGACTCCTTGGTGGTTTCCTTGCAGATGCCAAACTTGGCCGCTACTTGACAGTTGCAATCTTTGCTTCCATAACTGCTGTGGTAGGTTTTCATTCGTTAAACCAAAAATCATTCCAGGATCCATGTAGACTGCCTAGCTTAAATACAGATGGAGTATCTAATATAATACTCTGTTTCTAGTGTTTCATATCGTTTTGACTGACCCTTGCTACAATTAAACTTTATCTATTAATTAATCAATTTAAATTGCTCCAAAACTAATAAAATAAATTAGGCCATCCAGTCAGCAAATATTATCTTGTGCAAATGATTAATTAAAGAGAAATGAGACTGAGTGGTCGGTGGCTGTTTTATTTTGTTAATCTTGCAACAGGGGGTGACTTTGTTAACCTTGGCTGCAAGCATTCCTAGCATGATTCCTCCTCCATGCAGTGACTACAGAAGACAGCACCATGAGTGCATTGTGGCCAATGGTCGGCAACTGGCTATGCTCTATGCAGCTCTTTACACCATAGCACTTGGTGGTGGTGGCATAAAATCCAATGTCTCAGGCTTTGGTTCTGATCAATTTGACTCATCAGACCCCAAGGAGGAGAAGGCCATGGTTTTCTTCTTCAATAGGTTCTATTTTGCCATCAGCATTGGATCATTGTTTGCTGTGATAGTGTTAGTGTATGTGCAAGATAATGTAGGAAGAGGTTGGGGGTATGGCATTTCAGCAGGCACAATGGGGATTGCAGTTGCTGTATTGCTATGCGGCACGCGGTGGTACCGTTTCAAGAAGCCTCAAGGCAGCCCTTTAACTGTCATATGGAGAGTGTTACTCTTAGCTTGGAAGAAGAGGACTCAACCTTATCCTTCTTATCCTAGCCTTTTGAATGAGTACCACAATGCCAAGGTCCCCCACACCGAAAGATTCAAGTAAGTACCCAGTTCAGAACAATTGAATCTTAAGCACACAATTTACAACAAGTTCAACATCAGAGCTAGCATGCACTTTTTTGTTTATAAAAAACTTTCCTGAAACTAAAAAAATGTTGTTTGTGTGATATTGTTTAGGTGCCTTGACAAGGCTGCAATTTTGGGCGAAGATGAGGCTGCTAATGAATACAAAACTAGTTCTTGGATAGTTTCTACTGTGACTCAAATTGAAGAGGTGAAAATGGTATTAAAGCTCATTCCGATTTGGTCTACATGTATCCTTTTCTGGACGGTTTACTCTCAAATGACAACCTTCACTGTAGAACAAGCCACCTTCATGGAGCGCCAAATTGGCTCCTTCGTTGTCCCTTCAGGTTCTTTATCAACTTTTCTCTTCATCAGTATTCTCCTCTTTACTTCACTAAACGAAAGAGTCTTTGTTCCCCTGGCTCGAAAAATCACCCACAATGTCCAAGGAATGACAAGTCTTCAGAGGGTTGGTATTGGACTCGTATTTTCAGTAATAGCTATGGTGGTTTCTGCCATTGTTGAAAAAGAAAGGAGGGAAATTTATGTTCATAAACACATAAAAATAAGTGCTTTCTGGTTAGTCCCTCAGTTCTTCCTGGTGGGTGCTGGAGAAGCTTTTGTTTATGTTGGACAACTTGAGTTCTTCATCAGGGAGGCACCAGAGAGGATGAAATCAATGAGCACAGGGCTTTTCCTAAGCGCCATTTCAATGGGGATGTTTGTGAGCAGTTTGTTGGTGTCTCTTATAGACAAAGTAACCCAGAAGAGCTGGCTAAGAAGCAATTTGAATAAAGCCAAGTTAGAAAACTTCTACTTGGTGCTAGCGGTATTAGGAGTTATAAATTTCTTGGTTTTTCTTGTGTTTGCAATGAGACATGTGTACAAAATACAGCCTACAGTTAAGGGTAGTAACTCTGGAGAGAAAGAGCTTCAAGACATAGAGAATCATTGGATTACAGAAGGAAAACCGGAGATGGAGGTCTAGTGGTATTGTTATTTGTCGGTACTCTGGTGTAAAAATAGTCAATTTGTGTTTTAAGCATTCTTTTCTGTACCGCGCTATATACAGTATATATATATTGAGTGAGGGTTGATTCTGTGCAAAATCTTTATTTTTATAAGTGAAGTTTGTGTCCTGTGTTAAGTCATACGATCTCAACTCAATTTTTCATTTCATTTGATTAAAAATTGGGTAAATGGCCATCTATTTATATTGTGTTTTCTGCAAGAATCATACGTTCACATAATCAAATCAATTGAGCACCTAAATGCGTATAAATGGGGACTTTCAATTCAATTTTAGCGACACAAGGTATTCTATTTGAGCAAAATTACTAGTTTCTGAACAAATTGAGGCTGAATAAAAGGTTCTATACTAAAAATTATCTAGACAGGCTACGGCCCATTTCATTGGAGCCCAGACCAAATGCTAATGCCATCCACAACCAGAAGGTTCCTGCGAAGAAAGAAAAAGAAGCCTGGGTTATGACTAATGACTTATGTATTTTAAATGGAGCCCAGACCAAATGCTATTTTGACTCACTGGATGCCATCCACAACCAGAAGGTTCCTGCGAAGAAAGAAAAAGAAGCCTGGGTTATGACTAATGACTTATGTATTTTAAGTGTTTAACGGTTAAACCATGTGAAAAATAAAGTAATTGATTAAAGTAGCAAGGGTTGTTTGTTTTGTGCGTCATATACCTGGTGCTTGTCCTCTTCAAAAAACTAGGAGAAATTACAATACAAAAAGAAACTATAGTAATAAATACCATAAATCATGTCCAAAACTGAACTATTATTCATTAAATTAGTGTGATTGTCAAAGACTTAAATTAATTCAATGTTTTGGTATATGTTATTATAAACAAACTGGTGCTAAATCAGTTTTATAGGAAATGTTATGGAATAAAATAAGAATATTTTTGAAAAATACCCTTAATTACCTAACCAAATTTTTTTGAATTTTAGGTTAGCATGTGAAATAAATACCATTTGGTGATTCAATGATAAAAGGATAAAAGAGTAAAAAAAAGCTTCATAAACTCTTGAGTTTGAATCCTCTCAAGCTTTAATATGGGTGATTACCGGAGACACTACTATGATTAGATTAACCCATCAAACTGAGTCTGAACCCTTTCTACTCCAAATTTCCAATTTCACCATCCAATTTTCCAACTAACAAAGTAAACCACAGATTGGCGGAGTCTACAACGTGTCAATGTCGTTTTTGCCCTTGTTCTTAACGAACTCTGAAAACACCCACAGAACTAGACAAAAACAAACCAACCAACCACTCAATAAAGCCAAAAAATCTAACACAGGCACGGCATACAGTCAAACACAATAGTGCTCTTTGTCTTCCTGTCCTAACTCGCCCTTCTTACATTCTCTTCACGTCAATCACGTCACTCCGCCATGTCAAACGGTTTCGTCGCGGTGAAAAACGACGAACCTGGCCGTTTTGTCTCCCTTTACAGTGAACTCCAAATTAGGAGATTAAACGTCTCTCTACCTCTCCCGACAGTTCTCAAAAACTCCTTCCACATTGTCGACGGCCCCCCTAGCTCCGCCGCTGGGAACCCCGGTACGCTTCCTAATACCATAGTTCATTTGTTCTACTATACAATCATTAATTATATCACATATTTAGTAGTATTTATATGCACATGCTTCACGTTCAAAAACTGATTGTAAGTAAACTTGTATTGTATATGCTCACAAAGACGCGCTTGTTCGTATGAATGTAAATATGTTATTTCTACAACGTATCGTTTAGTTTTAGTTGTTGGAAATATTTATCTTAGTATGATGGTTGACTTTCTGTAGTTATAAGAAAAGCTTGAAATATGCGATATGTCTTTAAGATTAAATTTTGTCTCTTTTGGATCCTGTCCAGGTGTGTATATATAATTGGTTCACTGAGAATATATTTTTGATATTTGTGTGACACACAAGTTTTAGTAAAGAACACATTTGGAGAATTCAAGGAACTCCTTTTATATTGGATGTATGATTATAGGATATGATTACTAGCTATAAAACTTATCGTAAAGGTAACGAAATTTTCATTAAATCAAGATTTGTAAATTATTTTTAAAAAAGAGTAAAAAATTAAGCTAAATATTGCAATTGTAACTTTAAATCTATTAACTTTTGGTAAAATTAAATCTTGTGTAATCATACTTATGTAGCTTGAAATGTTAATATAAAATACAACTTGCTATTACAGAAGAGATATCGAAGTTGTTTCCAAACATGTTTGGACAGCCATCAGCAAAGGTGGTGAAAGGTGATCCCACTAAGGGGAGTGGCTTGGAGAGTAAGAGTTTGAAGATTGGAGTTGTTTTGTCAGGAGGGCAGGCGCCTGGTGGCCACAATGTGATATGCGGGATTTTTGGTGAGGGTTCTATTTTTTAATTTTTAAACAAGTTTAGTTAAGTTGGATTTGTAAAATTTGTTCTTTTTGAAATGGTTGTTTCGTATTTTGGTTAGATTATTTGCAGGAACGAGTCAACGGAAGCAAGCTTTACGGGTTTAAGGGTGGTCCAGCAGGGATCATGAAGTGCAAATATGTTGAGCTGTCTACTGAGTTTATCTACCCATATAGAAACCAGGTAAGGCTTTTGAGTGCTATTATTGCAAAACAGTCAGTAAATACTGATTTCTGCTAACATTTTTGTAGAGGTGAAGTTGCATTAACAATAATTTAGCATAAATAAACCTACTTAATGAGAGCGTTTGATTCATGATATCAACTTCTTTCTTGAGGATTTGTATTTATATAATGTGGACTCTTTCTACAGGGTGGCTTTGATATGATTTGTAGCGGCAGAGACAAAATTGAAACTCCAGAACAGGTACCCCAGTACCCCTTAATAAGTCTTGTTGAGATTGATTCTAGGAAAAACATAGCATTACTTGATTTCAGATGTCTAATTTTGTATGGTCATCATGAGTTTCAGTTTAAGCAAGCTGAAGAAACGGCAGTGAAGCTTGATTTGGATGGACTAGTTGTCATTGGCGGGGATGACTCAAACACAAACGCTTGTCTCCTTGCTGAAAATTTCAGGTACAGTGTGCACAACTTCAAGGCAATTAATTTTCTGCCATTGTCTGTAATCTTAGGTTGCTCTGTTGACTCCATTTTTTTGGTTAAATTATCAAAATTTTCAGGGGTAAAAAGATGAAGACACGGGTTATTGGATGCCCAAAGACCATTGATGGTGATTTAAAATGCAAAGAGGTTCCCATAAGTTTTGGATTTGACACTGCATGCAGGGTAATTGATATATATATATATATTTTTTATTTTCACTCCAGACTTGCAATCTTCGATCGTTAGTTTCTGTAGAGCTTAATGTAAATCCTCATAAAACTTTGTTCTAATTTAGGAAAATTTAACGTATGATTGTTGTAATAGGAATTTCTTGATGATGTTTACTGGCCCTCAAGGTGCAGATATATGCTGAAATTATTGGAAATGTGATGGTAGATGCTCGTTCTACCGGCAAATACTATCACTGTGAGTACTCTGGTTATAAATTTATCAAATTCGGTTATGCCTTATGTTTATTGCCTCTTCAATGCTTAACAAAGTAAATAAGAAAAAATTACAAGGTTTTAAAAGTAACATCAATTATGTCATATGTGGATAGCAATACTAGTAATTAGTAATCCGGCAACGATATCGATCTTATCAATTCGTAAGTTAATTCTGGTATAAATACAAGTACCATATTATTGAAGTTAATCCACACTTTTTCTAAAATTTCACTTGTTGAATATTTGCTGCATTATCCATTTCTACAGTTGTCAGGCTTATGGGCCGTGCAGCTTCTCATATAACATTGGAGTGTGCTTTGCAAACTCATCCAAATATTACCATTATCGGGGAAGAGGTACCCTTCTGATTCCTATGTTCATTTCAATTTCAATTTGGTCAACCACATGTGTGCCATAGATTCGTTTGTAATTATTATTACACTCTAAAGCATGACTATGAAAACAATAGATGATGCAACTCAGAGATAAGTTGTTCATGTGATCATCATGTTGAATGTTTTTATAAATCCTCCAACTTTTGTCAGCTCTGACAAGATTGTATCTTGACGAAGGTTGCTGCCAAGAATCAAACATTGAAGAATGTTACAGATTATATTACTGATATAATCTGTAAACGTGCAAAGCTTGGTTATAACTATGGCGTTATACTTATACCTGAAGGCCTGATTGACTTCATCCCTGAGGTGTGATTCAAATAGAAGATGATCAATGTTGCTAAATATCTTCTTCATACATACAATTTCCTCAATAGATGCAGTTAAATTATCATGTTGCTTGTATACCATCCCACATTGCAGGTACAACAACTTATCGCAGAGCTAAATGAAATCTTAGCTCATGACGCTGTCGATAAAGCTGGGATGTGGAAAAAAAAACTTCAAAGTCAATCCCGGGAGCTATTAGAGTTGCTACCTAAAGCTATTCAGGAGCAACTAATGCTTGAAAGAGATCCACACGGGAATGTGCAGGTTGCCAAGATAGAAACAGAAAAAATGCTAATCGAAATGGTGGAAACTGAATTGGAAAAAAGGAAGCAGGGTGGTGCATATAAAGGGGAGTTCCAAGGACGGTCCCACTTCTTTGGGTAACTAAAAATTTGTTCATCTTGTTAGTTCTTGGATCAGCTGTTCCATGATGTTTACGAAAGCTAATATAGTATTTGTTCAATACGCAGTTATGAAGGTAGATGTGGCTTCCCAACAAACTTTGATGCAAACTACTGCTATGCATTGGGATATGCTGCTGGAGCCCTCCTCCATTCCGGAAAGACTGGATTGATTTCATCGGTTTGTTTTGTTTCCTTATTTTCAATATTTCTTTGTTATCCTTTACATTTTTTTTTTTTTTTCAAATTCCCCGTTTCATAGTGATTTTGTGTTAGTGAGAATATGTTGATGGGCATATACAGGTGGGAAATCTGGGTGCTCGAGTTGAAGATTGGACGGTTGGAGGAACAGCATTGACTTCATTAATGGATGTAGAGAGGAGACATGGTATACCGCTACTTCCCTTTGCTAACATACTAACTCAAGGCTAATTAGAACTGTGAGAAAGTGTATTGCCGCGGTGCACTTTTTGTTGAGGTTTTATACCAACAAATTTTTTTTTTCTCTAATCTGAACTTAAAATCCAACCTAAAATACGAACAGATATATAAATTGAGTTCATTGACATTGATTAATTTATTTCATAGAACGGTCTTATCATATAGATGTCCACATTAGAGAAAGAGTATTAAATATAATTTATTATAAATTGATGATGTTGAGCTAGGGATTCATAAATAAAACATTGACGTAAGATATGTTAAACTTTCGTATAGTTGAGTAACTTGGGTACTTGTATATGTCATTAGGCACCCAATTATAAACTGTGTTTTATAATTTCTCTTTCAGGGAAGTTCAAGCCTGTGATTAAGAAGGCAACGGTGGAACTCGAAGGTAACTTTCCTTTTTATCACTTGTATTGCCTTCAGTGGCAATGAAATGACATTAATTTAGTAGTGCCTGGGCTGCTGCAATAAGAACGTGATGATTTTCCTGGACAGCCAAGAAATTTATTTGTTTTGTTGAATTGTTAATACATTTATCAGGTGCACCATTCAAGAAATTTGCATCTTTGCGGGATGAATGGGCCCTCAAGAATCGATATGTCAGTCCAGGTATATTAATATTATAGATATTTTATCTAATATAATCTTTCTGGCTTTGTTCTTTAATGATGGAGTTTCACTTGAATATCTTAGATGTATTAACCAGTACTTTTATCAAACAACTAAAAAATTTTTACCAGCGTGAGTTGGAACAGTTGAAGAATTCATAGATGGTGGCAACTTTATTGAACAATGGCTTTCTGAAAAACCACTAATGATTTTAATTTTGATAGCCTAGTTTCTTCTTGGACATATTTGCTATATTACTCAGAGACTCGTTAAATATGCTTAACTGAATCTGCAGAATATGCTTTATATGTATGGATTTACTATATCTTTCATTACTATCGTGTTTTGATCAGGTCCAATTCAATTTGTTGGGTCGACAGCGGATGATCTCAATCATACTCTGCGGCTGGAACTTGGAGCACAAGCGTAGGACACAAGTTGTGGTTGATATTCGGTCGCAATATATCCCAATTTACATGAAGCATACAGTTAATTACTATATGTAACACTCAGCAAAGTCTAAAATTTTGCTTCCCCAGAACAAAAAAGATGTCAAGGAAATAAGGATGGTGGGAGTGAAACCTTAGTATATATTACTAAAAATCTGTTGGATTGTAATTTATTAGAGGATCAAACATTTTATCTCTGTAATCAACTGAGAAATTTCATTCCATTTATTGGACACACAGAGAGATGCGTTGTCATCTGCTTGTGGAAGATATTCTTTTAACTGGCTGCCTTTGTTTTNTTAGTCAATGAAAATTAAGGGCATGATATCTCTAGTTATGGGATTCAACTGCCTCCCTTTTCTCTACCAATTTGGTGAAATTGCCTTCTGTGGTTAAAGTGCTTTCAGGATGAAACTGAACCCCCTGCAACATTTATTCAACTTTTGATTAAATAGTAATATCGATTTGAGCTTATATTTAGACTTTCTAGTGTTGAGAGAGAAATATTAAGAAAAATATTTGCATGTGAAAAATAATTTGTGGGAACTAAAATATGTTTTGAGAATATCTTTTGGCATATAGGATTAAATGTCGTCTGGTAAGAAATCCTTCTCTTTCGATAATCTTTCATTTATCTTAATAAGCTAATGAAACTTTCTTTTTCAATCACAAGGCTGTGATATCTACCTGCTGTGAAACGACTGGAAAGGCACACAGAATTAAATCATACAAATATATGTAATTGCTATTATATAAAGGCCGAATGACTTACGCATACCTAAGGTTTGCCAAAACAATAAGTTGGTACCTAAAAGGTTTTGAAACGACAAGTAGATGCATTCCGTCAAGTTCTGTGAGTGATTTTCATTTGATAATAGTGAAAAGACTAAAATGTTCTTGAAAGTTTAATATTTTAGTTTTTTATAAATTTAAAAATTTCTAAAAAACCCATTAGGTTTGCTAATTTGACTAAATACCCCAATATATAAAATTTTTATAAAATAACAAAAACACCACTGCCACCCGCAGTGCCAGATTCTTGCCACCACCGCCGGAATCTGGCCGAAAAATTGCGTTACGATAGACCCGTCGGATCTATGTCGTAACGCGTAGATCTGACATTTTTTAACAATATCCGTGGCTGATCTGGCCAGATCTACGGCCAGATCTGGCCGTCGAGGCCGGAATCTAGCCGAAAAATCGTGTTACGACACAGATCTGACGGGTCTGTGTCGTAACACAATTTTTCGGCCAGATTCCGGCGGTGGTGGCCGGAATCTGGCACTGCAGGTGGCGGGGGTGTTTTTATTATTTTATAAAAAAATTTATATATTGAGATATTTAGTCAAATTCGCAAACTTAGGGGGTTTTTTAGAAATTTTTAAATTTATAAAAAGCTAAAATATTAAACTTTCAAGGACATTTTAGTCTTTTCACTATTATCAAATGAAAATCACTAACAGAACATGACGGAAGGTACCTATTTATCGTTTCAAAACCTTTTAGGTACTAACTTATCGTTTAGGCAAACCTTGGGTATGTGTAAGTGACTCTGCCTTATATAAATAAAAATTTAGTTAAACTAACTAAAAAAAGTGCTACATATTGGTGAATAAATGCTTTACCAATACATTTCCACTTAAAATAAAATAAAAGACCTCCTTCACATATTTGAAAGATAAGAACGTTGCATTTTGAAAACTCAATCAGGCTTTGGATACTTGTNTTATATAAATAAAAATTTAGTTAAACTAACTAAAAAAAGTGCTACATATTGGTGAATAAATGCTTTACCAATACATTTCCACTTAAAATAAAATAAAAGACCTCCTTCACATATTTGAAAGATAAGAACGTTGCATTTTGAAAACTCAATCAGGCTTTGGATACTTGTGTCAACCAAGCTAGGCCATTTTTTGTAGGCCAGACTATCTGAGACCTAATGATCAAACACATCTGAGGGCTCCTCTTTTTAAGCTTTTATTCTAATTATAAAACTATTCTTACCATGTAATTATTGATAAAGAAAATGTTTATGGTAATTTGATCTTCGACTTTCAATGAAAAAGCTAGAATCAAAATGTAGAAAAAACTCCTAGTTATTCCCTTGCACTGCATATTGTTGTCAATACAATTAAATGCTAATATTACCTCGCAAGATAAAGATAGAAACCAAACCACTATCACTAGGACAAACTATATGGCTATATAGTCCGAGTTATATCATCAAATTCAATCTATGCAAAGACATAGCTATAAACAATTGATCATCAAGCCATCAATAATAGATAAGAGACACATCCCATAAGTATGTTGCTAAAGGTATTGACTAAATATTGCCTAAACCCTAAACCCTAAACCCTAAACTTTAATAAGCGTTGCAAAGAAAAAGAACATATAGACCACTAAAACAAAGTAACCTTCATTGTTAAACTACAACCAAGTTCCAAACTAGGAACCTATCACACTTACTATGAGCTTAGTTTAAGAAGTTCCATGCTAGGTTGAGTACAAATATTGAGATGTTTAAACAAGCGCAACTTGTATGCATCTCTACAAGACTCCTATCCTCATCAAAATTGTTGGAGTCCCACACCGATTAGGCACGCTCAAGCCTACTGATTTATAAGAGGGGGTAATCCTTCCATTCAACAAGGCTTTATTGGGTGAGGAGTCAGGCCTACCTCAAATTCTATCATGGTATCAGAGCTAGACCTAGTTGAGCTGAGTGCTTAACCAGTGTGTGAGGAGTTTGAGCCAATAATTACCTCTATCAACAGGCATGACCCAACATATGGGCTTCAACAGGAATGACCCAATATATGGGCTTGATCGTGAGGGGGAGTGTTGGAGTCCCACACCGACTAGGCATGCTCAAGCCTTCTAGTTTATAAGAGGGGGTAATTCTCCCATTCAACAAGATATTATTGGGTGAGGAGTCAGACCCACCTCAAATTCTATCAAAACTCACAAAGAAGAAATTCTATATATATCTTTCTTTTTTCTTTAAAAAAAAAAAGGTTGAAAGAAAAAGGCTTTTAGATGAAGGCAATGAGCCATGGGTTAGCTAATTATCCATTTGTGTTGACTATAGAGCCTTCAATAAGCTAACAATTCTAGATAAGTTTCTCATTCCAGTTGTTGATGAGTTTTTTGATGAACTTGGAAGAGCTACAATCTTCTCAAAATTGGATTTGAAATTGTGGTATCACCAAATCAGAGTTAAAGAGGAGGACACTAACAAGACAACATTCAGAACACATGAAGGGCACTACAAATTATTAGTCATGCCCCGAAAACTTTTCAAGCTTTAAAGAACGACATTTCTCAGCCTTACCTTCGAAAGTTCATATTGGTACTTTTTGATGTCATTTTGGTTTACAGCAGAGCCATGCGGGAAGACATCTAAGATTTAAAAATCACACTTCAAACACTAAAAGAGCATCAATTGGTTGCTAATCATAAGAAGTGTTTCTTCAGGCAACATAAATTAGAGTATTTGGGGCATATTACTCAGCAGAGGGTATAGCGATTGATTCCTCCAAAGTCAACAATATTTTGCAATGGTCGATTCCGAAGGACGTGAGGGCTCTCAAGGTATTTCTCAGTTTAATTGGATACTACTAAAGGTTTGTCAATGGGTATGGTAAAATTGTAATTCCCCTTACTACTTTACTTAAAAAATAGGCATTTATATGGACTACTAAATCTCAGAAAGCTTTTGAGGATCTCAAACAAGTCATACAACTGTACCGGTCCTGGCAATGTCGAACTTCTCTAAAGATTTTGTGATTTAGACAAACGCTTCGAGTTGTGGGTTAGGGGCAGTTTTGATGCAACAGGGCAGACCATTAGCTTTCTTAAGTAAAAAGTTGTCGTTGAAGTCCAAGCTTATATAAGTGTATGAGAGGGAATTGATGGCCATTGTCATGGCAGTTCAAAAGTAGCGACACTACTTATTGGGGAGGCATTTTATTATTAGGATATACCAGAGAATCTACACTTTTTGACTGAACAACGATTGTTGGGTGAGGATCAATAGAAATGGGTTATGAAATTGTTGGGGTTAAATTTAAAAATCCAATATAAGCCAGGACATGAAAATAAAGTAGCAGATGCTCTCCCACGGCGGTTGGAAAACATAAAACTCAATACCGTCTTAATGAGTTGTTTTGTTGGGATGGAGGAACTTGAAAATGCAATTCAACATGATGCCAAAATGCGTTGAATTGTCCAAGAGCTAATCATTAATCCGAACAATCGGCCGCCATTCAGACTTGTGGGAAACCATCTCCTATATCATGACATATTAGTGTTGCCAAACACTGTATCCCATATTCAGAAACTATTACACGAGTTTTATTCTTCACCAATTGGGGGTTATTTTGAGTTTTTGAGAACTTACAGGCGTCTCACTAACATTGTGTATCGGGAAGGGATGAAGAAGGATATTCAAGCCTATGTAGAGTCATGCACCATTTGTTAGCAGAATAAGTATCAAGCCTTGAGTCTAGTTGGCTTGTTGCAACCTATACCAATTCTAGTCTAGGTTTAGGAAGATATTTTGATGGATTTCATAATAGGAATCCCAAAAGCTCACAATGTTAACACAATTCTTGTGGTAATGGATCGCTTAACCAAGTATAGCCACTTTCTCACTCTGAAAAATCCATACACGACAAGAAAGTAGTTGCGTTATTCATTAAGGAGATTGTAATAGGTTGCATGGCTTTCCTTGCTCAATTCTATTAGACCGCGATCTGGTGTTTATGAGTCATTTCTAGGGAGAGTTATTTACAACTGTACATTTGCTTAGTCTACCACCCACTAAAAAGATTATCAATCGAAGATAGTGAACCGATGCTTGGAAACTTATCTCTGTTGCTTTGTGGGAAATCAACCTTGGTAATGCCCTAAATGGATAACTTGGGCAAAATTTGGTTCAACACGACATTCAACAACTCCATGGGTATGACTCCCTTTAAAGCACTTTATGGATGGGATCCTCCAACTCTACTTAAGTATTTTCATCATTGCTCAACAATGGATGAAGTGAATCACCAACTGCAAACCCATAACAAAATTCTACAAAAACTAGAAGAAAATCTGACAAAGGCACAAAATCCAATGAAGAACTATGCCGATGAGAAATGAAGGGCAATCAATTTAGAAGTTGGGGATTCAGTTTATCTAAAGTTACAAATTTATCGTCTTCCTTCATTAGCCCACAAATACAATGAA